CGCTGATGAACAGTGAGAGAAGTCTTGATAAAGGCTTTTCCACATTCACCACATACATGGGGTTTCTCTCCAGTATGAATTCGCTGACGATCAGCGAGATACTTGTTCTGGATAAAAGCTTTTTCACATTTAGTACATACACAAGGTTTCTCTCCAGTATGAGTTCGCTGAACGATCAGCGAGGTCCTTCTTCTGGATAAAAGCTTTTTCACATTCAGCACATACATAAGGTTTCAATCCAGTATGAGTTCGCATATGAACAGTGAGCTCACACTTCCAGATAAAGGATGTTGCACATTCACCACATACATGGGGTTTATCTCCGGTGTAAAATCTCCTATGAACTATAATGCATTGCTTCTTGGTGAAAGCATTACAAATTTCACTGCATAGATGGGATTTCTCTCCAGTAGCTGTTCGCTGATGATCAGTGAGAACACTCTTCTTGATAAAGGCTTTTCCACATTGACCACATACATGGGCTTTCTCTCCAGTGTGAGTTCGCTGATGATCAGTGAGGTTCTTCTTCTAGATAAAGGTTTTTCCACATTCTACACATACATGGGCTTTCTCTCCAGTATGAGTTCGCTGATGATCAGTGCGTTTCTTCTTCTTGATAAAGGCTTTTCCACATTCACCACATACATGAGGTTTCTCCCCAGGATGTGTTCGCATATGAACAGTGAGCTCATGCTTCCTGATAAAAATTTCGCCACATTCACCATAAACATAGGGTTTCTCTGCAGTATGAGATCGCTGATGATCAGTGAGAGCAGTGTTCTTGCTAAAGGCTTTTCCACATTCACCACATACAAGGGGTTTATCTCGGGTGTAAAATATCTAATGAACTATAAGGCATTGATCCTGGGTGAAAGCTTTACGATACTAACCGCATACATGGGATTTCTCTCCAGTATGAGATCGCTGACGATCAGTGAGAGCAGTGTACTTGATAAAGGCTTTTCCACATTCACCACATACATGCGGTTTCTCCCCAGTATGAGTTTGCTGATGACCTGTGAGAGCACTCTTCTTCTTAAAGGCTTTTCCACATTTACCATGTACTGGGGTTCTTGTCCCAGTATGAGTTCGCTGATGATCAGCGAAGTCCTTCTTCCTGATAGAAGTTTTCCCACATTCGCCACATACATAGGGTTTCTCTCTTATATGAGATGGTTGATAAATCAGTGAGAGCAGTCTTCTTGGTAAAGGCTTTTCCACATTTACCACATACATGTGGTTTCTCTCCAGTTTGAATTCGCTGACGATCTGTGAGAGCACTCTTCTTGACAAAGGCTTTTCCACATTCACCATATACATGGGCTTTCTCTCCGGTATGAGTTTGCTGATGATCAGTGAGGTTTTTCTCCTTGATAAAGGCTATTCCTCATTCACCACATACATGAGGTTTATCTCCAGTATGAGTTCGCATATGAACAGTCAGCTCATACTTCCATATAAAGAATTTTCCACATTCACCACATACATGGGGTTTATCACCGGTGTAAAATTTCCGATGAACTGTAAGGCATTTCTTCTGGGTGAAAGCTTTACCACACTCACCACATACATGGGGTTTCTCTCCAGTATGAGTTCGCTGATGAACAGTGAGAGCAGTCTTCTTGATAAAGGCTTTTCCACATTCACCATGTACATGGGGTTTCTCTCCAGGATGAGTTCGCTGATGATCAGTGAGAGCACTCTTCTTGGTAAAGGCTTTTCCACATTGACCACATACATGAGGTTTCTCCTCAGTATGAGTTCGCTCATGACCAGTGAGAGCACTCTTCTTCATAAAGGCTTTTCCACTTTCAACATGTACATGGGGTTTTTCCCCAGTATGAGTACGCTGATGATCAGCGAGACCCTTCTTCCTGATAAAAGTTTTCCCACATTCACCACATACATAGGGTTTCTCTCTTATATGAGATGGTTGATAAATCAGTGAGAGCAGTGTTCTTGATGAAGGCTTTTCCACATTCACCACATACATGGGGTTTCTCTCCAGTATGAATTCGCTGACCATCAGCGAGGTCCTTCTTCTGGATAAAAGCTTTTTCACATTCACACATACATAAGGTCTTTGTCCAGTATGAGTTCACTGATGATCAGTGAGGTTCTTCTTCTCGATAAAGGCTTTTCCACCTTCACCACGTACATAAGGTTTCTCTCCAGTTTGAGTTCGCATATGAACAGTGAGCTCATATTCCAGGTAAAGGATTTTCCACGTTCACCACATACATAGGGTTAATATCTGGTGTAAAATCTCTGATGAACTATATAAGGCATTCCTTCTGGGTGAAAGCTTTACCACACTCACCACATACATGGGGTTTCTCTCCAGTATGAGTTCGCTGATGAACAGTGAGACCAGTCTTCTTGATAAAGGCTTTTCCACATTCACCATGTACATGGGGTTTCTCTCCAGGATGAGTTCGCTGATGAACAGTGAGACCAGTCTTCTTGGTAAAGACTTTTCCACATTCACCACATACATGGGGTTTCTCTCCAGTATGAGTTCGCTGATGAACAGTGAGACCAGTCTTCTTGGTAAAGGCTTTTCCACATTCACCACATACATGGGGTTTCTCTCCTGTATGAATTCGCTGACGATCAGCGAGATCCTTGTTCTGGATAAAAGCTTTTTCACATTTAGCACATACACAAGGTTTCTCTCCAGTATGAGTTTGCATACGAACAGTGAGCTCATTAAGCCAGGTAAAGGATTTTCCACATTCACCACACACATGGGCTCTCTCTCCAGTATGAATTCGCTGACGATCAGTGAGGTCCTTCTTCTGGATAAAAACTTTTTCACATTCAGCACATATATAAGGTTTCTCTCCAGTATGAGTTCGCATATAAACAGTGAGCTCGTACATCCAGATAAAGGCTTTTACACATTCACCATATTCATGGGGTTTATCTCCAGTATGAATTCGCTGACGATCAGCGAGGTCCTTCTTCTGGATAAAAGCTTTTTCACGTTCACAACATACATAAGGTTTCTCTCCAGTAGGAGTTTGCATATGAACAGTGAGCTCATACATCCAGATAGAGGATTTTTCCCATATTCACCACATTCATGGGGTTTATCTCGGTTGTAAAATCTCTGATGAACTACAAGGCATTGCTTTTGGGTGAAAGCTTTACGATACTCACTGCATACATGGGATTTCTCTCCAGTACGAGTACTCTGATGACCAGTGAGAGCACTCTTCTTCATAAAGGATTTTCCACATTCACCATGTACATGGGGTTTCTTCCCAGTATGAGTTCGCTGATGATCAGCGAGGTCCTTCTTCCTGATAAAAGTTTTCCCACATT